ACCCAGGGCCTCTTAAACGTCAATATTTTGGTCTCCAGTCAAAACCTCCAATTTCTTCATGCCATCTAACCATTTTGTGCACTTAGTCTCTGAGCGCTGCTTCTCCAAGTCCACTGGCTGCATCCCAGGGCTACACCTTTCCTTCCTTTTGGCTTAGACTTCCTCCTGTGGATCAGTGAAGGTTTTTGGTTTCAGTCAACAGACGTGGACTCTGGCTAGCTTTGGCAACATTGTACTAGACGTATATTGTAGGGCTCCTAGAACCAGTGGGAAAGCTGGAAACTAGGCTTGGAAAAGGAGTGGTATCTATGTTAGGCTTATCATTCAGTAAATTTATTCTCTCTCCTCGATCAATATCAACCTTCATGGGAGAAATATTATGTTGGATTGGCCCATGTGATTTTTTTTTAACTTCAATCAGGAAAGGATTAAATGCTTTATTTTTCTTTAGGCTTTTTCCCAATTATTGTTTACATTCAATATTATTTTGTATTAGTTTCGGGTGTACAACATAGTGGTTAGACAGTCATATACTTTACAAAGTGTTCACCCCGGTATTTCCAGTACCCACCTGACACCAAACATAGTTATTGCAATATTATTGACTATATTCCCTATGCTACATTTTATATCCCCATGACTAATTTGAAATTACCAAAATATACTTCTTAATCCCTTCACTTTTTTCACCCAGCCCCCAAACCCTCCTCCCTTCTGGTAACTATCAGATACTTCCTGTATATATGAGTCTGTTTTAATTGTTTATTTGTTCTTTAGATTCCACATATAAGTGAAATCATTTGGTATTTGTCTGTCTGACTGACATACTTCACTTAGTATAATACCCTCTACGTTTGTCCATGCTGTTTCAAATGGTAAAATTTCATTCTTTTTTTAATGGCTCAGTGGCCCAGGTGATTTGCTTTGGCCAATGAATTGTGGGAGGAAGTGCCTGTGGCCTTAAGAGGCATTTGTGTTTCTACTCAACTCTGGAGCTTCCTACCTCTATCATGGAAGCAGCATTCTTTGGGTAACCTGCTGGTCCCAGAATAATAAAAGACAGGGTGGAGTCAAGTAACCCCAGCCAACTCATACACTGTAGCCTGAAACAGATGTCCCCAGGCAACCAGCTGGTACAAAAGCAAGCGATAGTGTTTTTTTATTACAGGTCACTGAGATTTTGTGATTTCTTGCCACACAGCATTAAGTGTGAATAACTGACCAAGAAAGGCAAGAACCAAGGAAGGCTGGGGAGCAGGACCCATGACTAAGGCCATGCCATAAGAACCAGTTGGTGATCTGGCCAGGTAGCTCAGTTGGTTAGAGCATTGTCCCAATAGAGCAAAGTTGTGGGTTTGATCTCTGGTCAGGGCACATACAAGAGTCAATGAATGCATAAATAAGTGGAAAAACAAATTGATATTTCTCTTTCTCTGTCTCTTAAAAAAAACACCAAACAACCAGTTGGTGAGAATATTTCTCCTTGTTCCATTGGCTGTTGCTACTGCTGAACTCGAAACTCCATCACTATGAATGTATTCTAAACCAGTACTTTTTGCCCAGCCAGGTGTGGCTCAGGGGCCGAGCATCGACCTAGGATCCAGGCAATCGGGGTTTGATTCCCGGTCAGGCACATGCCCGGGCTATGGGCTCGATCAATGACTCTCACGTCATTGATGTTTCTCTCTCTCTCTCCCTCTCCTTTCCTCTCTCTGAAATCAATAAAGATATATTTTAAAAAATAAATAAATAAAACAGTACTTTTCTAACTTTAATGTGCCTATGAATCATCTGGGGATCTTGTTAAAATGCAGGCCCTGGCCAGTATGGCTCAGTTGGTTGGAGCCTCATCCCGTACAGCAAAAGGGCAGGGGCCAACCAATCAATGTTTCTCTATCACATCGATGTTTCTAGGTCTGAGTGGAGCCTAAGATCCTGCATTTCTAACAAGCTCTGGGGTGATGCTACTGGTATCTAGAATATGCTTTGAGTAACAAAGTTCTGAACTGTTCCTGCTTTACCCCTTAAGAGTCAAAGTCACAGATGGGACTTTGTGTGAATCTAGGTGACATGTCCATGCCCTGGCTAGTAGGTGGCAGGGAGAGGGATGACTTTCTGCAGTAGATGAGGAAGAACTGTATTGTCCTTGATATTTGAAAGAGAAAAGAAAGGAATGTTTCTCAATCATTACTGTGCCTCATCATTACTTGGGGTGGTATGGTATTAAAGATCAGATCCTGCATGCTAACTCAGACTTCCCAAATCTTATTTTCTGGGAGATGAGAGCTGGGATTCTTCACAAAATAATATATGCCTCAGGTAATTCTGATTAAGGTACTCTGTGGACCACACTTTAACATGAATAAAAATCAGGAAACATGAATTCAATCAACTTGTTAACACACTCGCCTGAGTAAAGGATCTTTATTGGCACCTATCTTTCCTCTGCTTTATGAAAAATCCCCATACTTCTATCTGAGAGTAATGCCTTCACCTGAATCACTCACCATCCTCTCTGATTTTACCAATTCTCTTTTGGTTTTGTTTTCTAGCTTCAATGTCTTTCCTTCCTTTGGGTCAATCTTTTCTGCCCCATTAAGTGGGCAGGTCCAGTCTGAGCAGCCTCTCAGGCCTGTGCCACATTAGACATGTGGCAAGGAGAGCAAAAAGCTGTCTATTATAGAAGAAGGAAATCTTAACTGGGTTTTTGAAGTTCAACCATAAGGCAAAGAGCAGAAGACATGCCCCCGCACCACCACCCTGCACAGTTGAAAATCTGTGTATAACTTTTGACCTCCCCAAAATTTAACTACTAATAGCCTACTGTTGACCAGAAGCCTTACCAATAATACAGGATTAACACATATTTTGCATGCTATATGGATTATATGCTGAATACTTACACTAAAGTAAGCTAGAAAAAAGAAACTTAAGAAAATGATAAGAGAAAATACATTTACAGTATTTATTGAAAAACATCAGCATATAAGTGGACCTGCACAGTTCAAACCTTTGTCTTCAAGGGTCAACTGTACTCATAGTTCACTGAGAAGTGTTCAAAGGACTCCTGAGACTTTGGGCTCCAGTTCACATTCTACTTTATAGTTTTGCCAGGATCGAGTCATTTGGAGGATAGGATGTATATCTGTGGCAATACCCCTAAAATTACCCCACCAATGTTGGTTCAGTATCATTGCCAATTTATCTCTGCTATTGTGGGTAATACCATGAAGAATATTTGCTGGATTCCACTTTAATTATGGCCCTCTCCTTAGTAATAGCAAAGCACCTAAAGATTCTTTAATTTGCCATTCATTTTACAGGGGTTCTTGAAATGATCAGGAAATCTTTATTTCCAAAGCATTTCAAAGTCATTGACTAACACAAAAACACATGTTCTATCAGAATAAATATTTGCTCTTTTATCCTTTATTAGCTGATAGGTCTGGGCAATTACTGGACTTACAGAAGACCTGGGATCTTCTGTAAGTGGTATTAACTCAGCCAGCCACTTACTAGGAAAGAGGCTTTGGGCAAGTTATTTACTGAGCCTATTTTCTTTAAATATAAAATGATAGCAATACTTGTCTCACAATAATGCAAACATTTAATGAGCTACTGTATAACAGCCAACGAATAATACCTACCCCTAAGTCCTTCAAGTTGGTTATTTCCTTTGATTATCACGACCATCCTATTATGCTCATTTGCTAGAGGGTCAGTCACACCACTTCTAAGTGGCGAGGCGATGTTAGATTCAAACTCGCATCTTTCTGATACCAGTACCCGCTCCTTACTTAACCCCTCTACTGCCCTTGTCAGGTTCAAGTGCCCATCATACAACCTGTTAGACCGTGGGCGCTCCACCTTTAAAAATTAATAATTTGCAAGTTTGATTGTCCTAGTTTTATCCTAGGGTCTGATCTCACCTCCCAGCAGAGGCAAAATTCAGTCCTGACCCAGCCCAGCCGAGGACTAAATTCTCCCCTCCGGTGAGAGTAGCCCAGTCCGGGTTTATTGTGAGCTTACAATACAGTGATCAAGACGCCAGACGGTGACGGGGAACCGGCGGTGACGTTACCTGTCGCCCCCCTCCCCCTTCTCGGGCCTTCCCGCCGGCCCCCGCGGGGCGTCCTTAGCAACACCCGCGCTCATTCCTGGCCCCGCCCCGTCCGCTCGGCGCGGCGCCGGGCGCGAGGCGGCGGCGGTCTTTGCGCCTGCGTGAGGCCGCAACCGCCAGTCAGCTC